ACAGTAAACGCTGAACGATAAGAATAATGTTGAAATATGACCTGTTACTGTTCTAAGACATTCGGATTGCTGCAAGAATTGATCATTCGGCAGCCGTGCCAAACGATCAGCATTTGCAAACTGACAGATGTTGAGGTGTGGTGCATTCAGCACACCGTACGCATACGATGCCTGCGGCATGTGAACAAAATAAGCGAAGCGATCGTCCACAGTGTACAGCATCCACTGATGCTGCCAGAGTTCGTCGGCTGAAGTCCAACGCTCATGAAACGTGATGAAATCGACTGCACGTGCCACATCGTTTGCATGGAAACGCTTTCTGAAAAGCGATTCAAAGCGACACAGTTTGAACAATTTCAAACCTTTTTAGAGAATCAGCTTAAATTGGTGGATTCGGCGATCAAATACTTCTTTATCACTAACATACCAAGTTTGGATCAATAAAAGCAGTGTAGATCATCTCATTGACTGTTTGATCAAAAATCAAATCAATTGCGAGGTAACTCATCTGAGGAGGTTTTGCAATCTCGCGGTTTCATGAAACCATAATAAAGCTGAATCTGTGCAATAATGGAACAAAACGAATCGAAATAAGATGAAATGAGAAGTTAAGTCGTATTCCAACCTGTACAGAATACTTAGAACCTCACAGCAGTTGCCTGACGTTGTACGTTTGCAACAGCACAAACATAGTTTCAGAAAGACAAATGCATCAGATTCCAATTGAACAATGCTACGAATCAATCGATACACAACATACTGGATAAGACTTAGGAGAGGTGGATATGACTGAGATAACCTGTTGGGTAGCATTCATACGAACGAGTAACTGACTGAATGATCTCCTGTGTTTACCGATGAGTACATATCAACATTGTCTCTACACTTTAGTGTGTTGGTAAACAATACACATGATTAGCAAATTGCTGCACATCCACTCAGTTGACACAGTACTCATCAAATCGGCAACATTTTTGTGGTACGAAACTTTGAAAAACGGCAAATTTTCGGTGAATTATTTGCGCTTCAAGAGGCATAAACTGAAGTGAGCTGAAATGATGCGAAGGAAAGCAGGAACACGGGGAACAGCATTCGATAGTGAAACGAAACGATCTCATCTCAAATTAATAGTGATTTTTCGCAACCATTTGCACGGGAAACGTTTGCAAATGAAGAAAGCCAATNAACGGTCATTCAGTGCAAATTACGATTATGAAATGCTGCTTTATTAAGAAAATTTCTCGTCGTTTAAGCGGACGTATGACACCTCCTGAATCGTCGAATGAGTTTTTCATCACAACACAACGCATAAATGTATGTTTCATCATGTGACAGGCTGACCCATTGCCCGGCCAAAACTGCCCCGATTATGTCCGATTGTGTCCATTTGTCACTGTCGTGTTGCCGTGTATACATCGAAATTCCACCCAGCTTATAGTCATAAACGGCCATACACGACTCACTGATCACACAGATTGTCCACGGCTCTACTAGGTTCCCACCGTCCGGTGTTATGATTGCGTTCTCGCTGAGAAACTGAAAGGCTAGGGAAAGTTTTGAGTGTGACAATTTCAAGTTCTGTTACTGATGAGCCTGTTATTTTGAGGGTTTTTCGATGGTCAGCAACAGTGTCATTCAAATACTCGTTCATCGGAACTACTCGAAATTTCAAAATTTCACTTCGAAAATTCCGAATTCCGCTCGAAAATTTTCCACCTGCGATGATTACTCCTAAAGATTGACGGGGCTGCCATGTGGGACTTGGAAGTTGTGCTATCAACTCACTGAAAATACAAATGCTTTCGTTGTTCTGTTGTACCGAGATACTATCAGAATGCATAAAATTGAGTGAACTTCCCGAAGTCTGAGTCACACCTTAAAAGAATCGTCCAGCATTAGATGAGCCACATTCCAGCCGTGTTGTTCGTCCCACTTGTTCACATATAAAGACCAGTAGCATCCATCAGATGAGGTTGCACGTTTCACGTAAGCGTGTTGAAGATCACAATTTTGTCTTTCGTAGATTGTCGTCCATTGGCGACTAGAATCAGTAATCTCTCGTATAGCCTTCATATATCCAGTCATAAAGTTTTG